GTACTTTGGGAGGCTGAGGTGGGAGGATTGCTTGAGTCTAGGAGTTCGGGACTGGACTGGGTAACATAGTGAGGCCCCATCTTTAGAAAAAAATTTAAAAGGCTGGGCATGGTAGCTCATGCCTGTAGTCCCAGAACTTTGGGAGGCCACGGCAGGAGAATGGCGTGAGCCCAGGAGTTCAAGACCAGCCTGGGCAACATAGCTAGACCCTGTCTCTTTAAAAAAGTTAGCCAGGCTAATGGTGGTATGTGCCTGTAGTTCCAGTTACTGAAGAGGGAGGATCACTTGAGGCCAGGAGGTCAAGACTGCAGTGAGCTATGATTGCAACACTGCACTTTAGCCTGGGTAACAGAGTAAGACCCCATATCAAAAAAAAAAGAAACGTTTTAGAATAGATATAGATTGATATCCTTTATATAGATTTAAAAACATGCCAAAAAATACTGTATGTTGGCTGTGTGTTCTGCTCATGCCTGTAATGCCAGCACTTTGGGAGACTGAGACTGGTTGGTTGCTTGAGCCCATGAGTTTGAGACCAGCTTGGGCAAAATGATGAAACCTCATATCTACTAAAAATATAAAAAATAGTTGGGCTCAATGGTACACACCTGTAGTCCCAGCTGCCTGGGAGGCTAAGGTGTGAGCGTCGCAGAGATTGTAGTGAGCTGAGATTGCACTACTGCACTCCAGCCTGGGTGACAGAGTGAGACAAGACCCTGTCAAAAAAAACAAAACAAAACAAAACAAAAAAACTATATGTTGTTTAGGGTTACTTCCACAATATAGAGAAATGCATGGAATGATAAGCATGGAATTCAGGATAATCATTCTGGGGAGCAGGGAGGGGAGTGGAAAGGGAAAGGGTGATGGGAAATGGAGAGAGGAAACAAGATCCCAGAGGAAGTATTGTTAAGGGATCTCTGGGGTGTCAATTTTTCTGGCTGGAAACCTCCATGGCTGCAGCACCTTTGCCTGAGTTCTTGTCCTATGTCCAGGAAGAATTTAGGTATGCAGACAAGTGAAGGGCAAAGAAGAGTTTCATTTAGTGTTAGAACAGCTCAGAGGAGTGTGTAGCTCCTCTCTGTAGGCAGGTCGTCCAGTCCAGTGTTCAGCTCTTAGCAGAGAGAAGGCGCTGGAGAGTTTGGGGCTCCTCACTGCAGGGAAGTCATTCCAATGTCTCTGCAGGTCTCTGAAGCTCTCAGCAGACAGGGTAGCTCCTTTTTGCTGGCAGGTGGTCTCAGCAGGTGGTCTCTGGGGCTCTCAGTGGAGAGGGCAGTCCTCTCTGCAACTAGTCACCCCATCTTCTCCAGCTATCAATAGAGAGGGTACTTCTCTCTGCAGCTGGTCATCCCATCCTGTGCTCTCCCTGTTTGTCCTCTGGCCATCCTCTACCCTGCTCTGGCTGAGCCCAGGGCTTTTATGGACCTCAGAGGGCAGGTCTAGGAAGAGGTACCATGAGTCTTCACTCTGGTTAGAGGGACTGGCAACCCAGCCCCCAGCCTTCAAGCCCTCCTGGCCTGAGGGTGGGGCCTTACTGAAGACCCTGCCCACTTCCGCCCAGCATTCTATCTGCTTCCTGCTGCCATTCATGGCCCCAACGCTTGACTCCAACCCCACTCCAATGAGGGAGCTGAAAGAGGCCAGGCAGTGGGAGTGGATATCCCTGAGCCTGCAGGGACGGGGATATGGGGTGTCCTTCCTGGGGTGCCTGAGGGTGCAGGCTGCAGAGATGCCCTGGTCCTGCACTCCTGGGAAGGTGGCTGCAGCTGCTCCCGGGAGCTCCTGCCCCAACTAGGAAGGTTCAGGGCTCCTGCTTGTCCCTGGCTCCTGCCTGCTTCTTCCTGGAGCAGTAGGCCCAGGTCTGTAGGCACGGTGTGGCGGGTGCAGCTGTACCTGGGAAGGCCGATCCTGCCCGTTTCTGGCTCCTGCAAGAGCACAGGGAGGCTCGGATACACCGCTGCAGTTTGGGTGGCTGTAGCCCCGCTCAGGAGGGCGGGGCTCTTGCTTGCTCCATACAGCAGGAGGCCTGGGTCTGCAGCCCTGGTTTGGGCGGCCGCAGCGGCCCAGGAGTCCTGTCCCAACTCAAAAGGGGCAGGGCTCTCATTTGCTCCATGGAGTGTGCAGCCCCAGCTGCAGCAGGCACGATGGCAGCAGCAACTGCCATCAGTATTGTGCATAGGAGGGTTCAAGTATTTTGAAATGTTTTATATCTTACGCTACTGGGGAGTACATGATTGTTCATTATATTATTTTGAAATATTTAAAAACACATTAAAATAATCGTAAAGTGTCACATAGCAGAGAAGAAGCTGTTAATTGTGAATGGAAGTAGTAGCTAAAGTGAGCTTTCAGGATAAGTTGGTCTTTTTTTTTTTGAGACGGAGTTTCGCTCTTGTTACCCAGGCTGGAGTGCAATGGCGTGATCTCGGCTCACTGCAACCTCCGCCTCCTGGGTTCAGGCAATTCTCCTGCCTCAGCCTCCTGAGTAGCTGGGATTACAGGCATGTGCCACCATGCCCAGCTAATTTTTTGTATTTTTAGTAGAGACGGCGTTTCACCATGTTGACCAGGATGGTCTCGCTCTCTTGACCTCGTGATCCACCCGCCTCGGCCTCCCAAAGTGCTGGGATTACAGGCTTGAGCCACCGCACCCGGCCGATGAGTTGGTCTTAATGGTTACATTGGTCTTGATGGATGGGTGGAAATTCAGCAAGTCTGGATGGCAGGAAAGGAGATTGTGGCCCGGTGGATCGGCATGAGCAAAGGTGTGGGGTGTTCTGGGAAGGAACTAGGATGCATAGAAATATATTAATATAAACTTCAATAAAGGAGGTTGATAAGGTTACTGGGACAAGACCGTGAAAGACTTTGAACCCAGCAGAAATACAAGATAATTACTATACTAACTTTTGTGAATAGGAGCTTGCAATCAGGTCTGGGCTATAACTATATCTATCTATCTATCTATATATATATATATATACATTTTTTTTTTTACATAATCCCAAAGGGTTGATAATTTCTTCAACCGGGATGTTATCTTATCTGAATCTGACCAGTTTAGATTTATACTGCTCTTCAAATAAAAATAAAAATCACAATTCATAAGGCATCTACCAAATCTATTAGAAGAATCGATCGTCAGGCTCGCAATCAGTAATAAATACTGAGATCTCTCACTGGTAGCTTTAAAGAGTCATTTAAAGTTTTTTCTTATGACTATCCATCAATAGTCCTACCTGGTCATGTCAAGTGAAACTTCAACTAGAAAACATTGCTCTGAGAAGGGACAGAAATACTGGTTGTTTTTTTTTTTAACCTAAAGCTTATTAAATTTACCAGAACTGCCGTTTTACATGAACATCATTTGGTCACCAGCAGGTATCTTTCATTGGCTTCATATGGCAGAGTCTGAAGAATAAGGGTTGATCAATGTATCATTCATCAGAGACACCTGCAGAGATGATGAAAGTTTATTGTACAATATTATGGAAGGAAACACAACATTTAGCAAATTGAATCACTCATCTCCTCCTCCCCCTTTTTTTAAACATTAAAACTGCAGTTTGAAAAACAACTTCTAATGTGAAAAAAAATTAAAACAGCAGGTGATAATTAGGGCAAAGTTACAACAATGTGATTGCTGATGGGCTACCTGTCAGTTAATGCGAGTTATCACTTCACCCCAGGAATAGTTATTATTAAAAACAACTTATGGAGGTTAAAGAAGGGATGTTAAATGTGGTAGTCTCCTTATTTGCTCGCTTGGAAATGACTTAGAGATAGCTCGGTTAACCACCTCAGTTCTACTCTAGTCTCAGCACATGCATGCACACAAAATAACTGAAGTTATAAACGACCAAAACATAAACCTTAGCTGCCTTGAGTTAAAATCAATTTTCCTAATAAATTAAATTCAAATATTACAAACCAGTATGTAACATCGAGAATGATGTGCTAATAATTACCATGTTGGCATAGTGCAAAGTGCAAGACAGACGGATATAAAAATTTAGCAATTTAGAAAGTCTGATACAAAAATAGCTTTTACTAGTGTGAGGCTGAGTTCAGTTCAGTCACTGAGTTATAATGGTATTCTCTGACTAGTCAAGGTTGAATGTTGAAGATGTAGTTTGAGTATTAATCATCGATTCAAATAAAAGCCAGCACAACTGAAGAGGCTCTTCTGAGTTAAGTAGTTTATTCCTGAACACAGATGTAAGTTTTTCCCTTTGTGTTTTCCAGAACCACTTGAGTGTTTTCCCTACTATACAAGAAACCTCTTTTGGAATTATTTCTTTAGCTTTACTCTTTATCAACTATAATCTTTTTGGGCAAAGAATTCACCTAAGCTTTTGCTGCTATGAATTATGAGTTCATTCCTACTGACCATTTCAAGTTTAAGCTTTAACTTTCATGCTATGCAGTAAGAAATCTGATAATATGCTATGCTTCATCTTGGTTTACTATACGGTATTCCATTGTATTGTAGGACTCCATTTATATGAAGTACAAAAACAGACAAGCTGTTTATGCTGTTAAAAGTCAGGATAGTGGTTACCCTTGATAGAGAGGTGAAGACTAAGAGTGGGCACAAGTTTGGCCTATAGTATTGTATGAATAAACCGCATCTTTTTTTTTAAATTTTATTTTAAGTTCTAGTATACATGTGTAGAATGTGCAGGTTTGTTACATAGGTATACATGTGCCATGGTGGTTTGCTGCACCTATCAACCTGTCATCTAGGTTTTAAGCCCTGCATGCATTAGGCATTTGTCCTAATGCTCTCTCTCGCCTTCCCCCCCGGCACCTTGACAGGCTCCGGTGTGTGATGTTCCCCTCCCTGTGTCCATGTGGTCTTATTGTTAAACTCCCACTTATGAGTGAGAACATGCGGTGTCTGGTTTTTTATTCATGTGTTAGTTTGCTGAGAATGATGGCTTCCAGCTTCATTTATGTCCCAAATAAACCACAGCTTATTTATTTATTTTACTATTGATAAGCATTGAGTAGTGTCATTAATATAAAAAAACAAAGTATTACATAGGTACTCATATATACACAAGCAATACCCTAATGCATTCATACATACACAGCATTTTAAAGCTTTTCATTGAAGCATGATTTACATACACAGAGATGCATATATCAATAGTGCAGCTCAGTGAATTTTCACAAAGTGAACACACAAGTACCCAGCTCAAGAAACAACATGATCATCTCCCCAGAAGCCGTATTGGTGTTCTCTCCTAGACATCAGCTCTCTCTCAAGGGAACCACTATCCTGACTTTGAAGAGCATCAGTGACTTTTGTCTGTTTCTGTACTTTATATAAATGGGCTCCTGCAATTGTGCGTCTCCCTTTCACCAGCCAGAGAGGCTGGTCGCTTTTGTGAGGTTCACGTGTTTTACTGCATTTGGAAGCAGACTGTTCATCCTTAGTGTTGTAGAGTGTATTCTGTAGTATGAACGTACCACCAATTATTTATCTCTTTTACTGTTTATGACCATTTGGGTTGTTTCCCGTTTGGGGGTTATTAGGAACAGGGTTGCTCTGAGTGCTTTAATAGTCTTTTGGTATACATTTGACATTGGTATATTCCTAAGCATGGAAGTGCTGGGCCATAGGGTTTTCATATGTTTAAGAGATATTGCCAACAGCTTTCCAAAGTGGTTGTACAATACACATAGCATTTGATTTCTTGAGGAATCAGTTTAAGACTGGCATTTCAGCATAAGCATTAAGATAAAGGTTTTGGAGTCATTCAGATCAAATTTAGCTTATGACTAAGCAGTGGAGGCACCTTGGACAATGTGCTTAACTTTAAGCCTCGGTTTACTCAACTGTAAAATAGGTATAATAAAACCATTCTCAAACTTTACGAGAATTAAATGGGATATTATTTTAATGCAGTTAGAACTGTGCCTGAAACATAATAAATGCTTAGCTTATTATATGGCAGTTATTAATCACTGGCAATTAAAACAGGCAAAATGGAGAATTAGAAACAAATATGGGCAATATAATCCCAAAACAATTTTAATTGTATGATGGAAGAAATCTATGAAACTCTGACCCAAAAGGCATTGCTAATTCCAGGGAGGATTACACTTGGACCCTGAACATTATCCCAAAATGCGTTTGCAAATTATGCTCGCTAAAGGCAAGGTTCTTGGATGCAGTGTATTACCATTCATTTTTTTCCCTACCAGTTATTACTCTTTAAAGACAGGACTGCCAAAGGCTACTCTAGAAAGTCACTAATATAAGACCTTTTATTAAATTTCCCAATTTCACACCTCCCTCAACCGAATCCCCAAAGTTGTTGAAAAGTGACTGTAATTACACTATTAATTCCTAGCTTTCCTGGAATCTTATCTAAGACAACTTTCACATCCCCCACAAACCCTAAAAATGAGCCCAGATTTTTGCTTTAAATTGCAAAGAACTTGTTTTATTTTGTAGGATGAGCTTGATAACCTCAGCGTGGATTTCAGCAGCTGCCGGAAAACAGCACTCTAGAAGTTAACGCAGGTACGCTCCGTTCTGAGGCACTATTTCAGCTAACTGCTCCAGAGACAGCAGGCTCAGTCCTCTTAGGTAAGTAATTTTGGAAGGTGGCACTGTGTTCCTAATAAATTGAATCAGATCCTGTAGGTTAGTCACTATTCTTAAGAAATAAAGTACGAAATCAACTTCCAGTCATCTGTTGAGAAGGCCATGGGTAGACCTGAAAAGGAACATTTTGAACATTTAATTGAAGCTCTTTGATTTACAGATGAAAAAAATAGTCATTTAAAAGTCTTGCCTAAGGTCAAATGGTTTGTTTCCTGGACAGGCACAAACCTTATCTTAGTCACAGTCGGGTGGATGGTTCCTTTTGCTACCGTCCTCGCCCCCACCTCCCATCTCCCCATCAGATTTCATAAAGATCCAGACCTGGGATTCAGAAATGGGGAAGGTGAAGGAGTGTGACCTAAAACAAGAGAATGACAAACTATTAAATTGTTATTAGGAATTATAAGACAAGTGAGGCTTGCCTGCTAGAACGTAAGATCTAAGAAGCAGGCAGTATCTTTTCTGTTTTGTACGTCGCTGTATTCCGAGCACCTACAACTGTGCCTAAGCCTGGTAAGGCCTAATAATTGTTAAATGAAAAACAATCAATCAATCAGTCAATCAGATGTGTCAGATTGTGAGAGAAAACACGTCCTCAATGTTTTCTCTATCATTCCCCTTCCAGTAATATTAATAAAATGTGCAGATTTGTATTTTAAAGAGGTGAAATCATACGTTCTAGCACAGTGCCTGGCCCATTGCGAATAATTAATACATGTCAGTTTATCTTCCTTTTCTTGTTCCACGAGCTTGGGCTACTAGGGAGGCAGGAGTGACGGTGCCGCGTTGTTTAAGTGCCGGGACAGAAAGAGAAGAGTATCCTAGAGGCTGCTGAGAGCGGGCCGTCGGTGTCTTTCTGATCCGTATAGATCAATTCCAGTGCCCTGAAAAACGCAGAGCTATTTTACCCAGAGAGGCTGGTTGCTTTTGTTGATCGATTCTGGGCTGCAGTCAGCTTTTTAATACAACTTTTTATAAGCATCGGCTACACTGGGGCGGGAGGAAGGGGCTGTGGTGGAAAAACCTGGGAACCCCCCTCAAAAGGAAAGGAAGCCCGCGGGGCAGGGACTGCGGTTTTCGGGTCTAACGGGTCCTTGAGCTGGGGCGGCGGTCCGGGCCCCTCCGGCCCCGCCCCTCGCCCGCGGCCGCCGCCGAGGTTCAAGTTCGGCCCCCAGCTGCTAGGCCTAGCGCTCCCAGATCCGAAGCCGCCGGTGCGTCCCAAGGTCCCCCGCTGGAAGACTAGGCGGAAATCCCAGGGGTCATCCGGGCGCGGGGTCACTCGGCCACGCACTGTGGTGCCACGTGGGGGAAAAGTTTCCAACTCTGCCTGTTGGTGCTCCTACTGCGCCCCGGCGGAGCAAAGGCCCGCGCTTTGGCACCCGCTCCCAGTTCTGTCGCCTCCAGTCGCGCCCCCCTCCCAGGGACGCCCCCCTTGTGCCCCTTCTCTGAACACCCTCCCTCGCAGCGCAGGTCCCCAAGGGAAAACACCCTTGGGGGCTGGGGATTTCCCGAGAAAGCGGCCTCTGGTCGGCCGGGGGTAGGGGATCCAGGGGCAAGTGTCCCGAGGAGGAGGTGGGGGGCGCGCGCGGAATGGCCTGGGAACAGGGGCCCGCACGCGTCCGCCCTGAGACATGCCGGATCCTCCGGCGGCTTCCACGCCCTCGCGCGCCAACTGTGCCCGGCCGCGGCCGACCCCACTCGGGCGGCCCCCTCCACGGACAGCCCCCTCCACGCCCCCGCCCACCTCGAGGCTCCCCACCGCCCCCAGTGCGCAGGCCCGGCCGCCCCAGCGCGCATGCCCTGGGCTCGCGAGCGCGGCCAGCCCCCAGCCTTTTGCTTTCTACACACTCTACAACTGGGGAGGGGGCGGGGGAGGAGGGAGCCCAGCCGTCCACGTGATCCCGCCGGCCGGGGCCGCGGGGGCGGGAGCGCGCGCCGAGTGAGGCGCGGGGAGGGCGGGTGCGCGGGAGCGCGCGCACACGAGCGAACGAATGCACGAGCGAGCTGGCGGGCGCTGGGCTGGGCTGAGGCGGGCGGCGGCGGTGGGCCGGCTGCGGAGGGGGAGGAGCGGGTGCTGCGCGCGGCTGGCGGGCGGGCGGAGGATGGGGCAGTGCCCGGGCTCCCGCTGCAGCCGCCCGGGGACACGCCGTGCACCCTCCAGCTCGGGGCTTTCGCGGCGGCGGCGGCGGCAGCGTTAGCGGCGACGGCGAGAGCAGCGTTCCCGGCTGCGCTTCTCCTCAGGCGGGGCGGCGAGAGAAGCGGCGGCGGCGGCGGCGGCGGCACACCGGTGTCTCTCCCGCGGAGATTTCTTTCTGCTTTCCTCATCGACTGACTGACTCACCCCCTCCCTTTTTTGAGGAAGGGTGACCTCTTCTCTGGGACTGGAAAAAATATTTTTGTGAGGAGGGGGCGGGTGGCAGCGACAGGGTTTGCTTCTTCTCTTCTTTCATCTCCCTCTCCTCCCCCCTCGAAGACCGAAAAGCAAACCCCACAACTGCTCCAGCAGCATCCTCCTTCCCTTCCTCCGCCTCCCTTCTCCTCCGCCGCTCGCAGTTTCGCCCTCTCCTCCGCTAATGATTGCATTATTATGCTCCCCTCTCTGGGGGGTCTCACCCCTCTCGGGTCGTTCCGGAGCCCCGGCCTCCCCCGGCTGCATTTCTTAAAAATTTGGGAGCCTGGGAGTGAGTTTTCTCCGAGGCGTGTGTGAGAGGCGGCGGGGGTGTTTTCCTGCGCTAGGGGCGGGTGAAGTTCATTGCCCCCACTTTTCCCGCGACCTTTTTCGGACCCGATTTTGGATCGGGTTGAGGGGGGGCGCGGGCGTTTTCGGGGGGCGGGGGGCGCGGCGGAGAATGGCCGCGGGGAGGGCTCCCCGGAGCCTCCCAGTCTCTTGATCAAAGCATTCCGCTATTCTGATTTATTGCCTGCTTGGTGAGTTATTTTTTTTCCTCTAAAGGAGACCTGTGTGTTCAGCCATTACTTTGCTCGGCGCTGCTCCCAGGCATCTCCGACCCTTGGTGCTGTGGGGAGCCCCACACTTGGGCTCCTCGCCTCTCGCCCTCGCTCCCCGTCCCTCCTCCCCTCTCTCCGCCCCTTCCCCCTTTTCTTTCTCCTCTCTTTCTTCCCCTCTCTCCCTTCTTTCGGCCGCCGTCTCCCCCGCGCCCTCCTCGGGGCGGAGGGAAGCCGTGAAGGGGGAGGGAGGGCTCGGTGTCAATTTTTTTTGTGTGTGGCCGCGGCCGTAGCCTGTGGCGGGCGAGCGGGGAGACCCCGGCGCGGCAGAGCCATGGATGGCCCGACGCGGGGCCATGGACTCCGCAAAAAGCGGCGGTCGCGGTCGCAGCGAGACCGGGAGAGGCGCTCCCGGGGCGGGCTGGGGGCCGGCGCGGCCGGCGGCGGCGGGGCTGGCCGGACCCGGGCGCTCTCACTCGCCTCGTCGTCGGGCTCCGACAAGGAAGACAATGGGAAGCCCCCGTCCTCCGCCCCGTCCCGGCCCAGACCCCCGCGGAGGAAGCGGAGAGAGTCCACCTCGGCCGAAGAGGACATCATTGATGGATTTGCCATGACCAGCTTTGTCACTTTTGAAGCGCTGGAGGTAAGGGGGACCCCCCTCCCCCCGGGTTCCCTTTATGCACGACCCCACTCGGCTGCGCCCGACTCTCCGGCCTCCCCCGCCGAGCTCGGGGCTGTCTGTCTGTCTGTCTGTCTGAGCTGAGATCTTATTGTTGGTGGGGGGAGCTGGGGGCGCGGGCAGACAGGCAGCAGGAGGGAGTCGCGAAGCCGTGCCTGGTCTCCTCGTTTCCTCGCTCGCCTTTCCCCTGCGCCCCCTCCCTGCACCCCCTCCAGAGCAGATGGGCAGAAAGAAAGGGGTTCAGGCATCACAACAATGCGCCCCCTCTCCACGGAGAGCTCTGCCCCCACTCCTTCCTCCTCTCCCTCCCCAATCATGGCTTCTTGGCTGGTGGAAGTCTCTCTGCTGGGTTTGGGGCGCCTGTGGACGGTTCTCTGTGTGCTTTCTACAGAGTCATATGTCCGTGTGTATGTGTCTGTGTAGTATATACCTTTCCCTGGTGTCCTCGGGACCGGGGACTGATGGGGTTTTATGGTTTCTTTGCACCTCCCCCCACTACCCCCTCGTTCTTTTTTTTTTTTTTTTTTTTTGGTGAAGCTGGGGAAGGGGGCGTTTTCTCCTGGTTGGGAGAAAGGAGGGAGGAGGGGAGAGAGAAGAGGAAGGATGGAATATCTCTCTGTATTCTGTATAGGGCTCTGTTACCGAAAGGGTTAATTATAATATTATCTGTTCACATACATAGGCACATGTGTGTGTGTGCATGAGCAATTTAGTTAAAGGACAGAAAAAGGTACACAGGAGGACTGGTAGGAGGAAAGAATAAAATCCTAGCTGCTATCTGAAGGGCTTGTCACCAATTGTCCCTCTCCCTTTCCTTTAAGTGTTTTCTTTTTTTTTCTTTCTAAGTGATTGGCTTTGTGTGTGTCTATGTGTGTGTGTGTGTGTCTTTCTTTATTCCTTGGGCACCTGCAGTGTTGATTTCCAAACGCACATTTCCTCCTGGCTAACTGGCTCCTAGGGTGAGGGGAAAGGGAAAAGGGAGGGAGAGGGAAACTGTCCAGGGCTTAGGAGGAAACTGTCTTTGCCTGGACGGATCTCCTTTGCTGTGGTATTGGTCATTGGCCTCTGTCAATTTAACCGCCTTCTTTCCTCCCCCTGCCTCCCTGTCCCCACCCCCCACACACCATGCACACACACAGAAGGCTTTGAGATTCTGCAGAGTTGGTCCACCTTTCTTAAGCACAAAACCAAGATACAGTTTATAGTTGGCTTATAGTGTTTCATGCACCTGATGTGATGGTTTGAGGTTCCTGAAGGAAACTTTTCCCTTTCCATTTTTTTTTTTTTTGCTGTTATTATGGTATTGTTTCAGATGTTCAGATGCAAGCTTTGTTAATGACAGCTTAAATCTCACATACAGTAACTGTACAGGTTTAGACTGCTGGTTCTGTTTATGTGTTGGGGTGTCCGGTTTAAATATTTTTTTCAAAGGAAGGCTTCCTGTCAGTGTTGTCCTTTTCTGTTTGAACTGCTTTTGGGCTGCTGCTGGTGATGGTGGTGGATGGTGGCCAGTGGTTGGGAGTAAGGGAGGAGGAGGAGGAGGAGGAGGAGGTGGTGGTGGTGGTGGTGGTGATGGTGGCGGTGGTGATGATGGTGATGTTGGTGGTATTGGTGGTGGTTATAGATTTTGATGTTAGTGATTGAATCAGTCACTCTCTTGTTCTAGAACTGATGGTTTATTGGCCAAAATTTTGAGTGTTGAGGTTCACCACTTATTAGGATAATTCCAACTGTGGCTTTAAGTTTGCCAAGGTGGGTGGTTACCGTACAGTGTGACCTCCTTCTGTCTCTCTTTCTTGCTTTAAAATAGGAATTGAAATGGCAGCATGTTCTTAATAGAACATACTGCTTGGAATTTGGTTCATCATTGCTGTCTGTGGTTGGTTTAGGAAAGTACTTGTAAGAGCTGGTTACAAGTGGTTCTGCTTTCTGCATGGTTATCCTGGGCTTCAGTGTGGCCCCTCTCAGTAATCAAGAGGGGCCACCAGATTCCCAGAAACATTTTTGGTGGACAAGTAGGGATATATATTGCATACACACACACACACACACACACACACACATATATGTATGTATAACGTATGCAGTTGTTTTTGATTGTTTTATTTTTAACAAATAGGTGTTTGACTGGGGTTGTGATATATATCTATCCATTTGGCTTTTGAGAGAAAATGTGCTCATTCCATTTTATTTTGTGCCTAAAAAACTTATAATTTTAAAAGAAGACCAAGTTCAAAATGTACGGTTAATACAGTTTCTTTCTTTGCTCTGATTATTTTTTTTTCCACTACTTTTCGAGATTCAAAACCCAAGTTATTTTGGTTAGCTGAATACTGTGCCACCTTCATATCTAAATATCACATGCATATCTATGTGTGGGTATAAAAGGTCTAACTTTTTAAAAAGTTTACTTGAAATTCTGTAGAAAAACATACAGTGGTAGACAGACCACCTAACATCCAGGTTCGATTACTACCAACTCATATCTCATCTTGTTTTTTCTATATTTCATCTACTCCCTCTCCCACATATGATCTCATCCACAAATACTTCTGTATGAATCTCTAAACCATAATTACTCCAAAAAACCCCAGATCCCACCAAAACCCCCACAGCAGTATTATCACACCTAAATAAATATATAACAGTTTCCTAATATCAAATATCCTGTCAGTGTTTACATTTTAAGAGGCCCTTTTTTAGGGAAGCTGTAAATACATTTGTCAGATTAAAAACACACAATGGGAAATAAAAATCATCATATGTATCTGGTTCTTTGGCAAAAGGTAGTTTTATTGGCTGCGTGCTATCACATTGTGTCCATGCTGGATGGTCAGAACATATGTGTATAGTGATTGTTAAATTAAAACCTCTGGTGGTCCCCTGTATTCAGTTTGGAAGATTTATTGAACTATCACCAAGAAATGTAAGGGCTTATTGGGAACAGGCAGCTAAACTATGAGCTTGGACAAAAATGTGTGTTGCGGGAGTGTTTGTAAAAGTTAAGAATTATTATAGATGCTAAGAGTTATCCTAAATACATAGTATGATTTTGGGCCTTGTTTTTAGAAATGAAACCAGTTGTCACCAGATGTCATTAAGGCTGCTGCTGGTATGATATTGTGAAAAGAAACCAGAAATATTGGCTTGCACAACTAGGTTTATAGCTTGTGCCAGTTCAGAGTAATAGCTGGCAAACGGTGGAGTAGCTTACTTTGTGCATTACTGGACATGTTATTTGACTTCATGATTTTGTTCTGAGCAGCTGATTTTGGACTTCCCTTTTAAAAAAGAGGCTCCTAACTCATTATGAAATGTGCTAATATAAATGGTTTCAGTTCAACTGATTTTACTGATACTGGAGTAAAAGTGATATACTTGCCTGATGAGAACCTGTATTTTTATCTTGATTATTTTTTGCTGTTGTTGGATTATTTTTGGAGATGATGAAAGCTTTAGGGGTAGTTTGACAGGTCTCACATTTTGTAGGCAGTGAAACTGGCTGAGATCGTTTCATATTCACAGGGACACTTGTCTTGAGTAATTGTGCCCCGAAGTTCAAGTGTGTGATTATGAAGAGCCTCATGATAGATAAGAGGGTAGGTGAGGAGGCTAAAGTTGAATGTGGTGTTCTTTTCATTATGCAGTTGAGAAGCAGAATTAACATTGGGTTATGGTATATTGTTTGTTTGGATATTCT